GAGCTTGTGCTAATTGATTTTTCCTCTGCGCTTGCATTTTGTCCCTCTTGTGCCATCCAGCTAAATAAACCACTTTGCCCATGTCAGGCCCCTTTCCCTCCCCCCCGCTCATATGCCCCCAGAGAAGGACATGGGAAACATTACTTTAAACACCAAAGACATTATGTCCTTTGGGCTCTTGCTCCTGCTGGGAAGATGTCTTTCCAACCTAAGTGATTTTTTTCCATTTCCTCTTAACAGCCCTTTGATTTCCTTTTTTATTTCCCTGCACTCCATCCCCACTGCTACAAGCCCAACTTCTGGGAAAGTCTGCTTCAATTAACCATTTCGCTCATCCCCACTGGGATGATTCATGCAGTGCAGGGAGGGCCAGCCACAGCTACAAGCCTCCGAACAGAGCTGTTGACAAAACTCTTGTTTAGACCCAGAGGTGAGGCAAAGAGGAACACAGGCTCAGCTACAGCACGTGTCCAAACACCACCAGCCCCTTTGCCACCCCACTTGATGAGCAGTTTCCATGCCAAGAGGGGAGAAATGCGCACGGAAGAGTCTCCTCTACCTGCATCTTTGCCACCCTGGCCAGAAATCTCGGCCACTGCCTGGTAATATCTGTGCCCTTACTCCAAAAATGCCAAGACATGAGCTCAGGCCGGCATGGAGGACCTGGGCTGAGCCCTCAGCCTTTTGAGACCTCAGTGAGAGGAGCTGCCTTCCTCCCAGGATGACCTCTTGTCGCTGCTGCCAGGATGGAGAGCAGTTGACCCCCTGAGTAGCACATACAGGACTGGAGAGCACTTTGCTTACCACAGGTCACCCAGCAAGACAGAGCTGTGCCCCAAGAACCACCTTCTCCATTCCTGCAAACCCTTAATCCAAGCTGTATGTAAAATCTTGCCAGCCCAGCATGCTACATGAAGCAACAGCAACCTCTGCCAACACTTTGTATTGGACATTTTGCATCATGTTGACTGCACTTCATCTCTTTTCCTCACTATCAATTTGTTTCTTAGGTAAACACACACACACAAAAAAACCCAACCAACAAACCATCCAGTAAAGGATAAGTATCCCAAGTGCAGATGCAGCTCTCGAGCAGGGCACAAGCCTGCTCCAGAGGTCACAGCCTGCCAGATGTTACTTGCTCTCACCTTTTCCCTTCTCCAGACTGCTTCTGTACACCACATACACTCCCTTCACGCCAAACTCTCCAGCACCTAAATACCAAGCAGTTAATAACGCGCCATACAGCCTCCAGGTAAGGGTTTAATAAGTATCACAATCTCAGCTCCTGCCTGGATATCAAAGGTAGGGCGATAAAAGCAAACTTAACTATGGCCGTTCTGAAATCTGAGGTGCAGAGGGGAGCCCAGAGCACAGTCTACATCAGGGAAAAAGAGCGCAATGGCACTGGCACGGGGAGGGGGGGGTTGCCCTTTCAGAGACTGGAGGAGCCAGTTATCAGGAAGAAGGAAAAAGTAAAGACTCAATTTGCTTCTGAGACACTGAAGAGCAACGCCTGCATTTGTGCTGTTTTGAGAGGTGGCAGATGTGACAAGGGCTGTGGGACTGACTCTGGGAGAGCGTCTTTAGGAGCATTTGGAAAACCGACCATCTGACTGCAACTGCAAGCAAAGGCCATGGTCCTTCAAAACCCAACCTGGCTCCTGGAGTGAGGAAATGGCAAAGGCCGAGATGGGAAAATGGATCACACCAACCAGAAACTAACAGTAACAATGTCGACAGCCAGGAGAGGTTTTAATGAAAAATCTCTGGTGAGTAGGATTAAGGCAGTACAGAGGAGGGTTCTCTAAATAAATCAGAAACAGAGGACATCTGAGGAATGTCAAAGACCACTATTAGGGAGCGACTGGCCAGGATCAAGGTTCACCACTGAGATCTCTGCCACACAGGGTGTTGCACGGCACGTAGATGTCAAAGCAACACCGCGCTACGCTACACCGCTTCAACTGCTGCTATGAGGAGGACACCAGGCTTGCTCCTTCCCGGGACACTGTCTGCAAAAGACACAGCCTCGACCAAAACATTGATCCTGAGCTCGGCTTTTCAGACTGAAACATACCCTGTGTCCCAAAACGGCCCACGCCAAGGAGGCACGGCTGGGTGCTGCCTATGGTCTACCACATTCCTTGCACCAAAACCATTCTGCGGCACGATGCAGGTCTCCCAGCTCATTTCTGCAGGCTTGCACCTCCTGGGAGCGGAGGTGATCTTGGTGGGGGGGTGTACCTGGAGGCAGGATGGCTCACCCGAGGTCCAGCCCCACAGCATCCTCCGCTCAAGCTGTTTCTGACAAGAGGAGGATGAGGTGGTTCATCATCTACTTATACCAGATTAAATGCCAGTTCTCTCTGCGTTCCTAACTCCCCAAAACACACCGGCGTGCCACAAGCACCACGCATGCCCCTGAAAGTGTCTGTCCCATTGTCACGAGGCAGCCCTTGAGAAAAAGAGGAAAAGGGAGATAAAAAAAAAAAACAACCCTCTGGCTTCCTGCCATCTACGCTCTTATCAACCCTTGTTAACGGCTGTTGCCATGAACCAATCCAAGAGACATATCAATAACGACATAAGAGACACGTTTACTGTTGACTGTGACTCCCTGGCAGATTTATCGCTGGGTTGCTAGGAGGGAAGGCCAATCCCCGCAGTAGCACAATTAAAACCCGATTGAATACGGGGACAATGAATCGATACTCTATTCGGCCACTTTTAGTTTTGCAAAATACAAATATAAATTAATTGACCTGAACGTGGTTGCTAACTGGTCATTACTGCCTGCTCGCAGGCCAGCTGGCACGAGCGAGGTGTGCCACTGGGTTGTACACGGCTGTTCCTCGCGGTCCTCCTGCCACCGCTGCCGGGACGGCTGCCTCCTCAACAAGGGAGGGCCCAAACCTCACTTCTGAGGCCATATCTAGTGTCAGGAGAGCTGCAACCAAAACAGAGCTTTGCTCCTGTCCCTGTAAAGCATGTGCTCTGCTCGAGCGTCTTTGGAAAATCACTCCCTTTGTCCCAGCACAGAGCACTGGGTTATGTGTTCGCAGAATCACAGACTCATCTCAGTTGGAAAAAAACCTTGAAGATCATCCAGTTCAACCATTAACCTCACACTGACTGTTCTCAACCCCACCAGATCCCTCAGCGCTGTTAATCACCCTTGTAGAAAGCTGGCTCTTCCCCGGCACGTCAATGTGGAGACTCCACCAGCGGTGCTGGTGGGTGACACCACTTGGTCTGAGCCACCAAAAAAGCACATTTTAGCCACCAAGAAACTGTACTGAAGCAGAAGCGAGGACAGAGCACTGGAAGGATTTTCTCCTCTGGCTGCCACCATCAACAGAACAGCAAGGCAGGCCCTATAGATGGATTTTCTCAGCAAACTCAGGCAAACGATGTGGCTTGAGTTTAACACATGGAAAGAGAAATACAGAAACTTCTCAGCACGGTCCACTTGTCCCGTGATTGCATCACCGTGCATCCCCAGCTCCTCCATGCTTCAGAGAAGCAACATCGCCGAGACACACAGTCATTGCTGTGGTGAGGACGATCCAATGGGATTTCCTCACACCAGGGGAAAACCTTGCCCAGCACAGTTAGGAATGCCTCACCACCAGACAGTCGCTCTGGATGCAAACTATCTCACCTTCACCTGCCTGAGCCTGGCAAGCGCTCGCGTTGCAGGCCCTGCTCTGAAAAAGGGGTGAGGGGAGCGGGTGCTGAGCACCACTGCCAGTTCACCTGATTTCATGAGGTGCAAAGCACTCGGATGCTTCACCGGTGTTGACTGGATGGATTAGCACGATTAGAGAGCAGACAGGATAAACAGATTAAACTTCGCAGACGGACGGACTCTAAAAGGGAGAGAGGGAGAAGCCCAGTGAAGGGGGATGGAGGGGATGCTCCCAGCAAACCTCTGCTCCCTTCTTGCTGAGGTGAGCACTCCCCTCTCTGCTGTAGCACAGTGCCCCCCAATATGCTCCCACCAAGACCAGGCTGGAAAACTGCTTGGATAAGTGGCTGCAATCAAACCCTGCCTCCTCCAAATGAGAAGGATACATAAACACATACATATCCATGTTGGGGGCTTCGCAGAGACATGCCGAGGCCGAGAAATTTTTCAGATGTGCTCATTGCAAAATCAATATCCATCAGCTGTTTGAAATTAAAGGAAAGATTAGGTCCTGGTTTTATACACGCTTTATTATATTCCAAGAGCTTTCTATTCAGCCAGATAAATCTTCTTTAAGAGGATTAGGAAACTTTCATTATCTTTATCTAACCTGAACTAACACTAACTCTGAAAAATTAATCTAGAGACCCGACAAAAGCTGGGAGCCGATGCAAAGCCACAGGATCCAGAGGCAGCATTCACCAGAGTGCTACGGGTACCTCAGATCTGTCAGCACCAGATCCCCCCAACAGGGCAGTTTCAGGAAAGATGCTTTGCAACCCAACCATGGCCGATACACTAACACGCTTGCCTAGAAAGCGTCCAAAAGCCCTTCACAGCCCCATGGTGACTTGAATGCGTTCACACAGTCTGCCCTCTCTCCCAAACCCATGACCCTCATGCCACTGGGGTCCGTGCCCAGCAACACTTTGCTTTTGGCTCTCCCAAAGCATCTTCAGACACGTGCCCAAGCAATGTGGTCCTGAGCAGCGGAGATGGGTCAAATTCACAGCAGGGATGGGCAAAAGGGGGAGAAGGAAGAGCACGCCAGCCCCAGTTTCAGTTCTCGAGTGTCCTCTGCCCTGCGTGATGATCGTCCAACACAGCGAGGCTGAGACAACGCAAATCCATCTCCTCCCTGACACAGGAGGTGCTTGTCCACACCCTGGTTCCCATAGTGCTCCACCCTGAAGGAACGGATGGTGGTCTTATCTCTCCATCTCCATCCCCAAGTAGGTCTCCAAACCCTTCACAGCCTTCCACATCAAACGGCCAGCTCAGCAATAGCACGAGGCCTGTTCAAACCTACCTTGCACAATGAGATGGACGCGCGAAGTCTTGGGGTGATTGTCTGTCTGCACGGAGCAGGTGTAAGGGCCCTCATCGTAGACATCCACGTTGTGTATCTTGATGCTGTACTGGGTCTTGGTGTTGGAGAGGATGACCACGCGGTTGTCTATAGACCACTTGTCATTGCCAGCGTACAGGATGGTGCTGCGGTTCAACCACGCTACCCGCGTGACCCGGTCATCCACAGTACACCTGCGAAGGAAGAGATGGAGGGTCACAGACCTGGGACAGAACATATGGTGAGCATCCCGGCACCTAAAGGGGGCCATGAGCTGAACAGGAGCTGCAGCACAGTCTGCTGGTACATGCCATGGCCCAACTACCCTGCCACCATTTTCCCGCATGTCCCCAACACCTAAGATTTCACAGAAATGGCGGGTTCACCAGAAAACAAACAAACAAACAAACAAATAAAAAAAACCACCAAACCACCCTGCTTTTTTCTTTTTCCATACAGAGCTGGGGAATCCATTATGTTTGACCTCCGCACCCCCTGCCTCACCCACCTCTGCTGCCCCTGCCTCGCCCTTGCTGTGTGCTGAGAATTTCAGATGAAGCTGTAAAATTTGCTGACAGTTTGGCTTGTCGGCACAGCCCTCAAGCCATCCCCGGGGTGATATATGCACCCGCTGCTGGGGGAGAGGGGCCGTGGCACAGGCGCGGGGTGAGGGGAAGAAGAGAAACAGCCAGAGATGGTGAAGGCAGCGTGTGAGGAAGAGAACATTTGGATAAGGAGCTGTAAATCCTACAAGTGCCTTGAAAACACAACGCAGTCGTTTCCATTATTTATTTCCTGCTTGGCTCCCACCCTCCCCGCTTCAAGACGCGCGGGGGCTCAGCAGCTCTGGTCCGCAGCGCTGACTTATGCTTGGCAAAGAACGGGGTGGAGGGGGGGGGAGGAAGGGGATTAAAATGTTCCCGGAGAACTTGGTATTTTCATTCCGTTTGATAGATTTTTCTCGATCTATTTACTTGTGGTCTTCTCTGATGCCACCACGGCACCCTCAGCAAAACCACCAATAATTTGGCAAAAATAAAGCCTGGCATTTCTCGGGAGCTTCACCTTCCCCACCTGAGGCCTGTGGGAGGGGAGTGTCCTCTCAGCATGAAAGAAAACCAGGAAAACTAAGCTAGGTGCAAGCTTGTGCCAGCAGCAGCAGCGCTGCCGTAGCTTGGCGCAGCCGAGATCTTAGGAAAAGGCACCTACAGTCAATCAGAAAACTCGTGCGAGTCCCTCTCCACACGCCTGTAAATTCAAAGACGGGCTGGCGGGCTGTCCCTGTCCTCATCCCCGCCACGGCACCTCTCCTGCAGAGGCTTTGGGGGTGTTATATGCCTCCCTTGCCAGGATTGCAGAGCGTCACCTCGATCGAGATTATTAATCGGATGGAGGGAAGGGGCAATACTTGGCATGTTTGAGGGTCCCCTCGGGCGCTTGGTTCAGAGGAACGAGCAATATATCCTCCCACAAACAAGTAATTTTCCCCTTGCAGGAGCTGTACGTCTCCGCCAGCCACATCACGTACGGACGCCGGGGAAGACGGATGGCCCTCCCCGCCTGCCGCGGCACTGCTGGCGTGCTGGGAGCCCGCCCGGGCATCAGACGTGCCACAGTGCTGGCTCTGCTTCGCCGGACAGCATTGTCCTTGTCGCGAAGCCGAGCCCTCCCTTCGCTCAAATTAACTGGGGGAGAGCTAAGCGCAGCCGAGTTAAGTTCGGCCCTGGGGGATTCCAGTCTAGTGGACTATTACCGCTGTCTCACTTCATTATAATGAATAATAAAGAGATACTTACACACGGCTTCTGTAAATTATTCATTGCATGCACTGAAAAATCAGGGCAGCAATATGTAAAACAGACAACTTGCATGTCTGCGCTCATATAAATATCCAGACTACAGCCCTGCGAGGTACTCTGGGGTCCCCTCATTAGGGGTGAAGCACAAGGACTAGGGTTTGAAGTGACAGGGACGAGCAGCTCGTGCCCTCACTGAGCACGTTCAACCGCCGCCGCCGCCCAGCTTTGGCTGGCACGTACCGAGTGCTCTTTCTGGGGAGATTTGGGGCCAGTCTGGGACCCCTGAGACCTGGGGTCGCTTGTTCTGTGTTTACAGCTTGCATTTATGGCTCAGAGCCATGCCTGCATGAGCACAGAGAGATGTCCATAGCATGGGTGGACGTTATCACCCTCCCTTACCTGTAGCACCTGGGGACTGGTCCCACCCACAGAGCGAATGGGCAGGGGAAACTTAGAGCCTCCTAACAAATACAGGCCAAGACCAATGAGACAAAGGCTCCTTCTCCCCATCCCTCGAGATCACCCTTCAGTTGCTGCCACTTAATAGCTGATTTGGGACCAAATCCCTTCAGCAGTGCTTGCTTTGCATCCTGCTCCTCTCCACTGGAGCTTAGGTTGTCACCTGCAGCTTCAGGCCAGGAAGGACCAGACAAACCACCCTCCTTCAAAAAACAAGCCCACCTTGCACCATGTCAGAGCAAGCACCAGCAGAAAAGCCGCTGTCCATCAGCTGGCATGGAGGGCTCAGCGTTTCCAAGGGCACCTTCTCGCCCGACCTCACCTTCCCACTACAGATTTTCTCGTGACCTGGGAATCGGCGCTTCAAAGGCAAATACTGACCAACACCCCGACATGAGGAGCACCCCGCCAGCTTCTTTACAGGGCTCAGAAAGCGATCTCTGTTAGCCGCTAAGCCGCCGGCGCTCCCTCATCTGCCGAGCCGTCTTTGCTACCTATTTCCAATTGACCAGGATTATGATAATGTCTCCAGTAAGCAAACAGGTAAAGAGACTTCTGCAAAGTGTTTAGATAAAGCAGACAAGCTCTGACAAAGCTGGATAATAAAGCGGGCCAGGAGGTTTTCCCTTGAAGGGATCTAATTAAGAACAAAGAAAAACCCCCATTAACAGCCTCCTGAAGGCACCGTATCCATCTCCAGAAGAAACCCTGCCTTACGAGTCCAGAAGGAACAAAAGACAATAAAGAGCCTGTCAAGCAGGAGGGAAATAAACTTGTCCTGGTTCTGCAGTTCACCTGGAGAAAACCCATCAGCAAGGTGGGGGGAGTATCTGGGGACTGATTCTGTCAGCCTGAACCCAAGCTGTGGCACCCGCCTCGTCCCAGCTCCCCCACACAGCCCTTCTTCGTGCATCGTGACCCGTCCCATCTGCTCCTCCATCTCTGCATCCCACTTAGACCCTCACCGCCTTCGAGCAGAGAAGTTTCACCATCTGCAGCCCTTTGGCTGCCTCCCACCACGACCGCTCTCGGCCAGAGCAGCATGCTGGGAAGCCTCAGATGTTGGGCTTCTCCTGAGCTCCAGGCCCCCCCAACGCTCACACAGATACACGTGGCCTCTCGGGCGATGAACTCGAATGCGGCAAGTGGGAAGATGCATGAGGGAAGGAGTTGGGGGCAGCGGCGCTGCGCCGCTTCCCCTCTAATTGCCCCTATTCCTCATCCTTAAATGCTAATTTTGAAGTTTGCCAAGGAATTATTTTGCTTAGTGTCAACAATACAGATAACACGGCCAACGTGCTCTTTGTGTTCAGCAGCACAAAGTGACCGTCTCCCTCCTCCCAGACCTATTAGGAGAGACCCCCGCATCGCTCCCACGGCAGGCTCCTGCCCGTTCCCATCAATGACACTGACAACTCTTCTCCTACGCGTAGGACGTGACATAACACACATCGCCTTCATCCCCTGACTTTCCTGGTCCACATCGCAGACTTCTGCACTGCTGACTCAGCCGAGCATAAGGGTGAAGCCTGGGCTGCACATATGTCATGAGGCTGGGGCTGCCCTCGACACCTGCCCCTGATGAGGGAAATACCACGTCCAGGATCAGCATAAATTTTCCAGCACTGCTTTGAAGCCATAAATGTCACACAAAAAGACTTGGAGGCATAAAGCAAGTCTTGCAAACCCCTCTCTGTGGGTGAAAAGTATCCTGAGGGATGGGATGCTTGGGACCCCAAAATGCTGATGCATATCCTGAGCAGTCTGGAAGATCGGTTCACACCTGCAGAGCTGAGGCCGCTGGCCCCTGGCTGAGCCGAGAGGCTTGGGGGAACTGCTCGTCTTTGGCTTAACCCAAAACCCTCCCACTTCCTTATGCAAACCACCAACGCTCTACTTTTAAATACTTCCATGGCCCTTCAACCCCAAACTGCTTTTCTCTCCTGTAGGCAACGTGTCTCATCAAAATGACAAATGGAGATGCCGAAACCAGTCACAAACTGGCTGGCTGACCCAGTTTTCAATGCCTAAAATAGCTCACCCGGATCCCGAGTGAAGCCCCTCGACAGCAACAGGGTGGTGCTTCACCCTGGGAAGTTTCCAACCTAAAGTCCCTGTAACAGGGGCAGAGCAAACACCCCGCCACTCTTGTCTTTGAGAAGAAATTGTTAATTACGCTTGCCGGGGACTCCTAATGGGATTTCTCCTTCTCTTCTCGTCCTCGCCCTGGCTACAGAGTTAACGGGCTCTGAACGCCTTTATTCTGGGCGGCTGGAGCAAAGGCAGAGGAGATTTATTTGTAATCATCGGAAATAAACACACTTCCTCAGAAGTAAACACAAAAGAACAGAACCTGGCTGGGCTCCCACTTCGTTAAAGATGCAAATTAGAAGCAGGCCATCAAAACACAGCGGCTTCTCTAATCCTCTCTCAACAATGTAAACCGTCACATTAGCCGCGGGTACAATGGCATCTGCGGCGTGTGACGGCGGGTCTCACACAATAGCTCCCTGAGGGCAGGACTGTGCCGTCTGGGTTTCCGTCACTGTCATCCCTGATATTTATTCTCAGTGTGGAGGGCGGAAGGTACTTTGTCTTCATTCACCATCCCTTCCGTGGGCACCTTGTCTCCTCTCTGAGGCACCCGCGGTACCCCTTCTCCCAGCTCATCCCAGCGCCCAGATGCGGGGTGCACAGCCCCACACCATCCCCACACCATCCCAGTGCCCCGAGGACAGAGGTGACCCAAGATGGGTCGTTCGGCATCACACGGCACAACTGTCTCCCACCCAGCAAGTCCCAATCCATTGCCACACCCGTGTCTCCCACAGGAAACCGAAGAGCCTGGGATGCACGGGGAGCTCAGCCAGCCTCAAGTTTACCTTTTCCCCATAACATCTCCCCCTCTGCACCATATGCCAGTCACCCCAAATGCC